TTTATTAAACTAACTTGAGAATTTTAATATGCATTATTGTTATTAGGTTTTATGCAAGAACATAAATACTATTAATATCTATAAATACATATGAATTTCTAAATGTATTTCTGAAAAAATATAACATGGATCCAATAGATGTGAATGAATTTAGACCTCACTAACTAAAACATGTCATCAATAATATAAGTTAATTGATTCAATAACTTATTGATTCAAGTAACAATATTGACCTATGTAGGAATAATCAGGCTCTTAGTATTTAATATTAGGGAAAGTAATCCTACTGTAAACTGCAACTTATTCATTTTACCTTGTTTTACTTAGTAGCAACAAATGTTTTATGGCATAATATATAGTTCCTAAAATTAACAAAAGATACTTTTTTTTCCCAAACCTTCCTCCTTGATGATAAATTGAGGCCAGACTCCCTCTCTCACTTAGATATGAATGAATCAGACCTGAAAAAATTGGGGGGCATATTCAACACCACCAAAATAGGACTTTAAAATATCTTGATGTGTAAGAATTCTTATAGAAGCTATAAAAACAACAAATATTACTCAGTCCTTATTTTAATACATATTTCACAGTATCAAAGGATCTTCTGGTTATTAATATAGATACTGCTATGTATAATTTGATTCATATTTATTTCTATTAATAAGAGCAACTTTTAGTTAAAAACTGTAGTAAGCTATAACGGATATAACTTAAACTGCTTCTAAGTAATTATGAAGTCCTAATACAAAATTTCAGGCAAACATAAAAGTTAAATCTTAGTTAATTGCTCACCTCTTAAAATTCCCTAGAATCTCTAATCCAGACGGTAAAATAAGATACATATAAAATGCAGAATACAATGTTTAAGGACCAAACTTTGTTTTGATCACATACTGTTAAACTAATATTACATATTTTATGCAATTTTAAAAAATGTAAGTGAAACGTGAATTCATAACTCAGAAATCCATACTTACAATAACATTTTGGCTATATAAAATTTGTCAGGCTATTCATTAGCATGCCTTACTAACAGTATATAAAAGCTTTTGAAGAAAAGATTTATTGAATAAGTATACAAGGTGAACAAGACCTGCTATTACTCTTAATTAGTTTATAATTTAGTACAGAAGCAAATAAACAGGTAAGACTTTAGTTCTGTGGGTACGTCCTGGGATAGAGGTAAATGCCCAAAGATATGGAAGCATATTGCAGAGGCTAAGAGCATGGGAAAGAAGGAGGCTGTCTGAGTGGCTTGCTCAGAGGGAGTGAAACCCATATTGAGTCTTCAAGATTTACAAATTACCCTGGTGGGGAAAGGGCCCATCTGGAAAGAGGCATTAGCAAAGGCATAAAAACCTCAGAGACCCTGAGAGATTCAGGGAACCAAAAGAAGCCAGAAATAACACTGGTGAGTTTCAGGTAAGCAATTAAGTCTGTGTGCTTTACTACACTCGGGACCTTCTCTTGAGGGCGAGAAAGGGCCTGGGAAGAATATTAAGCAGAACAGTGATATGATCAGGTATGTATTTTAGAAAGACCACTCTAGAACTAATTTAAAGATATTCAAGATCCAAGATCCAAAATAAGGAGCTGAAGCAAAAGCAATAGCTCTGAAAGATTAAAAATTAAGAATGGACTGGACTTTGAGATGGGGATGAAGGAGAAAAGGGTGACTACTTGTTTTCTGACTAAACCTAGTCAGTGGCTGATGATACCACCCACAGAAGTAATAAAACAGAGGAGAAATGGAGAAAAATTGAAAGAGAAGAGAGCTAGTGAGTTCAGTTTTCATCTACTGAGCTTATAGATCTACATACTTACAGGCAGGGATGTGCCAGAAGGTAGCTGCATATGTAAGAATGAATGCATACTTATTAGAGACTGCCTGAATTCCTCAGGTTCATTGTAACAATAGCTAACATTTATTGAGTTGCTACTCTAAGCGAAGCATGTGCTAAATTTTCCATATAATTTCTTTCTGTTAACCTCCCCACTCCACAGATGAAGAAAAGTTTAATTAATTCCCCAAAGATTGCCAAGTGTCAGGGATGTTTGATTTCAGAGTTCAATCTCTAAACCACTATACTATGTTGTATCATAAAAAATCCATTATAGGTTTTAGGACCAGATAAAAGTGGGTTCAATTCTAATCTCTGCAGTTAACTATTGTTTGACCGGGCTGCTCTCTATACACAGTTTCTTTTACTGTAAAATGGTGACTATAGCAATTACATTGCAAGGACATAGTAAGGACTGGAGAGAATATATGGAAAATGTTAGATGGAGTGTATTTGCACAATAAATGACACCAATTATTAGGCCAATGCCTAGAGAAAGAATTCTTCTTTAAGTAAAATAACTATAATCTAAGTGAATTCCCTTTCATCTTATTTGCACTTTCTTTTAATTCTACCCTATGTGTTTTACATCTTAATAAATACTAAGTATCTTTTTTCAAAAAGTTTTGAGACATTAATATACAATGCAAGATTTAAAGTAATTTAAATATTTCATTCAAATAGAAATCATTTCAATGTAAAGGAGATTAACTCTGACTTCTTTGACCTTTCTATAGTGATGAATGCCAAGATAAGAAAACTCAAAAGTGATAAGTCATGTTGACGTTATGAAGAGAGCTTTGGACTTGGAGTCAGAAGACCTGTGTGAAGTCCCAACTCTGATGCTCACCAGCCATGCCAACATGGGGAGATCACTTAACAGTCCCAAGCATCCCTTTGCACATGCGCAAGGTCAAAAGATTGGCCTATATGGTCTTCTATGTCTAATGATGTTGAAGGAGGAAGGATTTTTGATGTTTATAAATTAGAATCATTAATCCATTAACACTTGACACAAACGTTAAGCTCCCTGTGGTTTAAACCAGAAGCACCCATGCTTGATGGCCACTGCAGAGATCAGCAGCTTCACTTCAATAACCCTCAAGTGAAGAGTTCATTGTCAGAAAGGGGAAGAGAAACAGACAGTGAGGATCATCTTTTCTTCTCTTAATATCTCTTCCATTCTCACCACAAATTCAGCAGCTGGGTTCAAGCAGAGAGACCATAAGGTCACCCTAGATTTCTGCACATTAGCAACAGCAGAAACTTAATTTTTTAATAAAATATATTTTTATTAACTTCAAAGGGAGAGGGAGAGAGAGATAGAAACATCAATGTGAGAGAATAATCGATCAGCAACTTCTTGAATGCCCCACACAAGGGATCGAGCCGCAACCTGGGCATATGCCCTGACCGGGAATGGAACCGTGACCTCCTGGTTCATAGGCTGATGCTCAACCACTGGCCGGGCATTTAATTTTTTTTTAAATACTGAGCTCAGGACTCTAAAATATCACTAAAAGGAAACCAGTATTTGGTCTAAATTACTGGGTTTCATTTTGCAAAAGGCTGTATGAAGCACTTTGGGTAATAACCTCACTCCAATGTTAAACATAAAAACTTATTATCTTTAACCTCCACTGTATTAAAAACAAAAATTCGTTCTTGAGTGCACACACACCCTAGGGTGATTAGCTGGATCAACCATCCCAGACTCTACCTGCTTTAGCTCTGAAAGTTCCATGTCCTGGGAAACCCCTGGGTCTCTGGAAAACTGGGACAGTTGGTCAATCTAACACCACCACCACCACCCCCACACACACACGCTTTTATGTAACCCTCAGTTTGTCAGAACAAAGTACAAATCAACAGCAGTCAACAGCAGTCCTCTCATGAAGCATCACCATTAAGAGGACATCATTATTCACTCAGGTACATACATGGTGACATAGACTCTGACACCATAGGATCCATAAACATGCAATAGCATGGGTGACATATCATCCTGCTATCATCCATGCCATGAATAGCCAGAATTTAAAAAAAAAATAACTACTTTGAAACCCCAGTCTCCCAATTGCCATTTGTAAAAGGTCAGGCAATTTGGAAGAATAATATCTCTACCACTTGACAGATTGTTTATAGTTTTATATTTTTTCTTACATTTTGATTCTATGTGAAATTTAATAATATATGAAATTAAACAATGCTCATGTGTGTATGTGAGGACTCAATTATCATTTCTTTTAAATAAAATAATGGAAAAATTAAATTATCTTGGAATGGCATGTATACTCCAGAACACATATACCTCTGTATTTTAAAACTGAACTCATCAAAGAAATCTTTTCTAAAACCACATTATTATACACAAACACACTGCCCTCTGTTGCCTGATAGAAACATTAGACTCTCAGGTTAAATCGTGATCACATAAGCAATAAAAAAAAAAGGCATCAATCAGCGTAACACACACTTGGTAGGTACACATGTCTCCTTACTTGTGACACCACTAGTTGTCTGTGAACAGAACAGCGTGGACCACAGTTGGCAGTAGTGTGGGAGTATGTGGAAAGACTTCCCATTGACTCCAGTTCCAACAGTAAAGAACTAGTCTCATGGAGACAATGAGTTAGGAGAAAATGCCATATATATCTTTTCTAAAAAATCAGAATCTTAGAATGATTGCCAGCAATCTTGCACACTCTTCACTCTGCAAAGAGCTTAGCAAAATAGGAAACCCCTTGAGGACTGTGGTTGCCATCCTTGAAATGAACAATAGGCATGCTAGTAAAATACTTTCTCTTTTTATACATCTAACATTCAACAACAGATGCACTATCTGAGCACATTTGGAATAAAACTAATAACAGAGATGTATGAAATTCTTTATACTGTCTAAAATATTTAGCATGATTTCAATTCCCTGGTCTTTCTGGCAGTGGCTTAACAAGTAGACAGTCAAGGGAGACCACATCATAAGCAGGAACACCATACATTCCCAAAGGTGTGTTTTATGATTTTAAAAGAGGATTCAAAAATCAACTAAAAATATGTTTTAAAAACTTGCTTTTTACAATATATTCCTTTCAGTATGATTTTGAGTAGTCGTACCTCAACTTTCTTCAGCAAACTTGAGATTGAATTAAGACTTACTGATTGTTCATTTAAGTCCTGGGAGTCTTCCATGGGGTTTTCTCACGTCTCCTGCCACCCCAAGTAGAAGCAGCCTCCTTCGATTAAAAATGGACTATCTAAAGCAACAAGATGGAAAAAAAGGAGAAAAATGAAATAGTTACCTTTTCCACTTGTTTGCAAAATTATTAAAACACACTATGATTTATTTACACGATAGCTGGTAATCTGTAGAATTATTTTTAAAGAACAAAATTCATTAATATTGTCCTCATTTTGAAAGAAATAATGATCTTGGAAATCACATCATGGTTAATTTGGGATATGTAAACAGCTACTCAGGACTCCTACACATAATCAAAAATATCTGAGGACAACTTTGGAGACACAGTATGAATAAACACTAAGTCCACTAGTTTGCTGAGAAGTCTGTCATTGAACAACTGATGGATTAAAAATTAGGTCTGCATTTTCCATTCATTTTGTAAATTATATAAAATTGAGAAAATAAGTGTATATTTTAATATGACAGCTTTTTTAATTGAGGAAAATGTATCTGAATTAACAGATGATCATTATTCAGTTCTAAAGAATATAATGTTATAAAATACATTCTCAATTTTAAAAAGAGAATAAAATAAGATTATTATGATAAAGACAATATCATAAATATACAGGTTTGGCAAAAGTTGGTTTATAGTTTTTCATATGGAAAATAATAAAATAATTAATAAATAATAATACAAGAGAAACTCTGTTTCATGAATTCACAACTATAAACATACATTTGTCCCACCCTGTATATGAGAAGGACCACTGGTCAGTTAACTATGGTAATACAATCAGTTTACTATTCAAAAAAAGTTCATCTTTGCTCTATACCATACATTGAAAATTTTCCCAGCAACATAAAGTTTAAAAAATCTCTAGAAAATAGGCATATCTATTTTTTTTAATTCTCAGATAGAGGAGAAGGATTTTATAATAGAAGCGATGGATATAACAGACACAAAAATAAAAACAACTACTAGTATGTCCTTGAATACACACACACAAATAATAATCAAAATTAAGGTACATGAAAATATCCCTGGTGACCAGGACCACTCCAGCTCAGGCTCACCTTGGACATGGAGCACATGGTAGTGATGTAGGTCATCAGTCTAACTGATGCAGACCTGCTAAGACTCCACACTGGCCTGACTCTCACGCCCTTCCTCTGTTCTCCCAGATGGAATTGTGGCTACTCATCTTTAAAATCATTTTCTCCCCACTACCTGGACAGCAAATTAGCTAAGTACTCCCCTGAAGTGGAGACTCTGATGTTTCTTTTTATTCTAACAGATAAATGGGTAAGATGGATAGTAAAACACAAAGGGAAGGGACAATAGATTCAGCTACATAAAAACAACACAAAAACTTTGCATTTCTGAATACATAAAAACAGCCCAAAAAGTAAAAGGACACAATACATAACAGAAAATATCTTCAATATATATTATAAACGTGATGCTGGAAACAAAGAAATCAGTAAGAAAAAGTTTAAGGACCTATTAAATAATTAAGCAATAATATGAAAATACAAATCATTATAAGAAAATAGAAACAGTAAACAAACATATGGAAAAGTCTTCACTCTCACAATTCAAAAAATATGTAAACGTAAGCAACAAATGTGCATTTTGGATTTCTGTATACATATCAATACCAAAGCATTTAAACATTAGTACCCATTGTCAGAAAGGATACAGTACAAAAAATGGTGTCCTCATTCAATTGCTGGTGATTAAGATACAGGTTAGGGAAATAGGAAATATATTTTCAGAGGATAAAGGAATGTTGCAAAATAAGGGGAAAGAAAGAGGGGGGCACCACATGGGCTTTGGCCTTGCAGAGCGAACAATGAGGAAAGCAAGGGGGTCCTAAATTTAGAAAGGGTCCAATTAGAAAAGGTCATATTCAGACAAAGAGCTGCAGCCTTTATAAACCCGGACACAAAGAGACTCGGCAGATTTCAGATTTTACAGATTCAGATTATTTAGATTTTTGCCCCATTAGAGAGAGAGAGAAAGTAGGCTTTTCCCATTTGGGGGCCCCACTCGAGGGGACCCCTTTCGGGACACCCCTGCCCAGATGGAGTTTGTATATGCTTCCAATAAACTTCCACATTTTTATTAAAGATATCTGTTATCGGGGGGAAAAAAGCAAAAAAAGATATCTGTTAGTCCACAAATTTATTCTTCATTTTCATTGGACAAGAACCCATGAGAAGAGAAGGCTGCACCTTGAATCCCACGTTTCAATAATATCAAGTTGTCTAACACTTTTTGAAAGCAATCTGTCACTGCATTTTAAATGCTATAAATATGTTTAAGCTCTTTTATCCAAAATTAACTGTCCTAAGAAGTAAAATTCCCCTACAAAAAGTCACCAGGTATTCACTAGTTTTATTCATAATAAAAACTAAAAACAGTCTCGTCTTTACATTGGATTGATTAAACAAATTATGGTCAACCATTTTAATATAATGTTATTTAATGATTCAAAAGGATAATTATTAAAAATGAAAGTGTGAAAATTATTGTGTGTTAAGTGAAAAATAAGAACAAAATGTTAGCTATGCTAACACTAATGTACATGAATTTGAATATTGCTTAAAAGGCATTTTTTTAAAATATATTTTTTATTTATTTTTTACAGAGAGAAAGGGAGAGGGATAGAGAGTTAGAAACATCAGTGAGAGAGAAATATCGATCAGCTGCCTTCTGTACACCCCCGATTGGAAATGTGCCCACAACCAAGGTACATGCCCTTGACCGGAATCAAACCTGGGACCATTCAGTCCGCAGGCTGGCGCTATATCTACTGAGCCAAACCAGTTAGGGCAAGGCAATTTTTTTAAATAAAATGATCAAGAATACTACATTTGGTTTGATGTACTTTGATTATTGTTGACTTTATGTTGTCTATGCAATAAATAAAAATTTTCTCACTAAAATACAGCAGGCATATAGTAAGTAAAATCAAATGATGCTAACATGGTTTAACAAGATCAGTTAAAAATATAAATATTATAGTGAAGATGAATTTCCTAGGTAGATGAACCTCCAAATGGCCTCTGTGGCTTCTTCTATGTCAGTGGTTCTCAACCTTCCTAATGCCTCGACCCTTTAATACAGTTCCTCATGTTGTGGTGACCCCCAATTCCATTGTTACAAATTGAACATAATTAAAGCATAGTGATTAATCACAAAAACAATTGTAATTATATATGTGTTTTCTGATGGTCTTAGGCAACCCCTGTGAAAGGGTCGTTCGACCCCCAAAGGGGTCACGACCCATAGGTTGAGAACCACTGTTCTATGTGGATTAAATCTCAAAGCCAGAGTACTTTCTTTAAGGGTGGGAACTCTTTTTTTTTTTATCTTTATTGTTGAAAATACTACTGATGTCCCCTTATTCTCCCCATTAACCCCTTCCAGCCTGCCCCCACACTAAGCCTTGACCAAATTATTGACTTATGTCCAAGGGTTATGCATAAATGCATATAAGTTCTATGATTAATCCCTTCCCATCACCCACCCACCTCCCAAGGGCACTCTTGATTGTGTTTACTAGTGTTATCTGCAGTGCCTAGCTCAGGGCCTAGCAAGCATTAGGAGTTTAATAAATAAATAGCAATTGAATGAATTACACAATTAATGGTGGATAAAATCATGCATAATGTATCTGATGATGTGAAGGAAAAAAGTTAACAGCCAGGTAATTTAACTTTTGAAAATTCTGTCTTAAATATGTACTTATTTTTTTAAAAATTCTGTTTTGTCCTACATTTTTCAAGTACATAACTGACTTCATTTTACTTTTCACTTTGTATAAAGGCAGTAAGAATAAAAAATTTGGGGACATTTTATTTGCTAAATGAGAATACTTTAAACTTTCAGAAAATTCAACATTGAGAATTAGTCCACCAGATATTTTCCTACTCAAATGACCTAATAATAAAATACTTATAATAAAATTATTAATGAAACCATTCTAACCAATTGTTAATTTAACAACATAGCATGCTGATTTAGTTTCCTAGGGCTGCTGTAAAAGAAATAAATTGGGTGGCTTAGAACAATAGAAGGTATTCTCTCAGTTCTGAAAGCAAGTCCTCCATTAAAGTGTTGGCAGGTCCATGCTTCCTCTGGAGGTGTTGTAGGCAGTTAAATAGACACAAGTAGATCAAGGACAATGTGTCAGGTACAGAAGGTCACCAGGGTGGAAAGCGCCAGGTGCCTAGCAACGGACAATCAATTGTAGGGTGGGGCCTCCCCCCCAGGGTGACTTTTCCTCCCCTAGCATATCGCTGGTCCCCCTGACCTTTCCATCCTAGAGACAACATTTATGCCTTTGTATTTCAGCTCCAGGCGCAGATAAGCAATAAAACCAACCATAGCTGATGTCAGGACCAGCTGCATTGAATGACTCCTTGCCCTGCAGGCCAATCAATCAGTGGAGACCATAACCCTGAAAGGACACACCTGGAAAGCTGCTGAATATTCTATTAAGATCTTCTCCTGGGATCTCCCCTAAAATCTCCACCCTTAAAACCCCTAGGATGGAGGACCCAGTGTGCTCTTCCTCCCAAGCATTTCCCATTCCTTTCCTCCTCCCCCTCCTTGCCCTTCCTGCCCCAGACACATTACCATTAGCTTCCTCACTCCCAAGCTCCAAGGGTCCTTCCGTCACCTCCAGAACTCATTTTCTAAGCCCATTTCTTCTAGGAATTACTTCTTCTACCTCTGTAATTTACCAAATCAATGTTCTCTTAAGTTTGGGTCTTGGCTCTGAATTCTTTCTTAGCCAGAACCCAAGTACCAGGTTGCTGAACCCAGGTTTAGTCTGACCCCACCAGTCAGACACCTGGTGCCATTCCCGCTGCCTACAACAGAGGCTCTAGAAAAGAATGCTTCTTTGTTTCTTCCTAGTATCTGATGTTGGCTGACAATCCATGCATCCCTTGGCTTGTGGGTGCATCACTCCAATCTCTGCCTCTATTGTTGCATGGTATTCTCCCTGACCACCTCTTCACATGGCCTTCTTCTATAGGTGGGTGTCTCAGTGTCCAAAA